ACTTCGTCTGAGCCTCTCTACGATTTATTGTTCATCAAGGAGTTTAACAATAACTTAATGAGTGTACGAACAACAATGCCGTCTAAATGCTTTGTTTTGATGAAACAGATCGAAAACGTGCGACCAAAACCTAATTTGGAAATAATTACCACTCGAAAACAAGTTCATAGAACTTTGTTTGTGGATTTCGATGCTATTGGCAGTAATGACACCTTAAACCTCAGTAAACTCTTTTTTGCTGATTACCGAGACTTCAATGATAAACGCTTTGATTCCCTTTACTTGTGCTGTAAGGGCAAATTAATTATATTTCTGAAAATTTGCATCATCAGGAAAATATTACAGCAGCCTTCGTTGGCAATCGCAAGTAATTACTTAGCCGATTCTTAAATGAACTATTATTAATGAAAAGAAATGAAAAATACCTAATCAGACAGCAGGTGTGTTGTTATGGTCACTCTATTTTGATGTCCACTGACAGAAGCCATGCAGTTAAGTCCCTTATAAGTTTGATATTTGTCTACTTGGTTGGTTAATGCAGTTAAATAACAAATACGTGATTCACTCGAGCAAAGGTAACTAACTGCTCAGTCTGACTTTGCCGAATGAAAAATAGACCGGGCAATTCGGCGAGCATGCGATCGAAGGCATGACCGTACCAAATGCAAGTTCACAAATAGCAGCTGTGGAGCTTTCCAAAGCGAGGGGTTAAGCGAGGTCGAAAAGCCATCATCACTTTGAGATTAGCCTCTTCTATGAGCTTTTGTGCTGCCCGCGGGAGTGTGAATGCTGCCCGCGGGAGTGTGAATGCTACCCGCGAGAGTGTGAATGCTGCCCGCGGGAGTGTGAATGCTGCCCGCGGGAGTGTGAATTGACCTGATGCCGGATTCGGAGCGGACATTTCCTTGCGATCGCGGAGTCTGTTGTTCAGGAGTGTCCTCTTCGTCTGATTGAAAATGCTCGATGTTCAAAGAGCCTTCCAAAGTTACACCACTATCTAAATCTGTATTATCGATTAAAACTTTCGTCATGATATTTAGAAATGGACTGAACACTCATCCGGTGAGGGTTAAAACTCATTACAACCGCTCTTTACGAGGGATAATTAGGCGGATGTCGACTCAATGATGCGAAAATCTTTACAAAAACGGAAGACGATAGTGGTCGAATATCAGTTCCAACTAACACTGATGCATACTGTATAATTGTTAGAAAGGACAGTGTTTAATATCACTTGCAGACTTACCCTTAGCTGGTTCCACTCGGTTCATGCCTGCAACGTTTTACTCTTTCCTGTCTTGACGAGGCATAAGTCAAACTAATCTTTGAGTACACATACGAGTGTGTTTTTCACATGCGAGTGTGTTTTTCAGTTATGATATGAATTATGCATTATTTTTAGTTCGTTTCCAGGAAACGATCATGGATGGTGTTTTAAATCTGGAAAATTTGGAATGGCTTCATTAAATTAATCCGAGGATCACAGACGTGAGTGCAAAGTATGATAATTTTGAATAGCAAATCTTTAATATGCAGGGTGAACTTCATTAGGCCACCGACGTTTGAAATCAAATAATGTTCAAACTACAAAAGGTGTAATCAAAAAGTCTCTTAATGTCCGGGCTAAGCTGATTCAGCTACAATGCTTGATATACGCTTGAGTGCATCTTTTTTGTTGCTTTTTTTTAGCAAACAGCTGTTTCATACCAAGGTGCGATTTAAATGTTCAATAAGTACGTACAAATAAAATCAAAGGCAAACATGCGTAGTCACAGCTGAACCAACTGAAGATTATCTTAATCTGAATTTATCAAACGGTCGATTTGGTAACTAGCATTCGATTCAAGACAAGTAGTGGTAGCTTCTCTGTATACAAAAGATAGTCAACATCAAATCTGAACGATTTCTTTCGTTAATCAATATCACCCATTAGTCCTGTCGAACAACATCGAATCATTATCTAATAGACGGAATCGTGAGATTATTTTCGGTTTTCATGGATACGCGGTCATATCAGATCATATTTATCATATCAGTGAACCAACTGAACATATTCATATTTATCATATCAGCGCTTCTAAACAGTTGTAAGACATTCCTCTTTATTATCTTTTGCTCCTAAAGGTTTTTGTAAAAAATAAAATGCAAAAAAAGTGTGAACTAGTTGATTTCGTAGCCAAGGGTTCGTTAACTGATAAAATTGACGTAATCGAGAGCGAAATTCGTCCCCAAACTGTTTCAAAGCTGAACGCAGAAACACTTCGAATACAATTCTTTGCTTCTGTAATGATCGATTAGCTGCGGAAGATGTGACTGTCATATACCATCGCACAGCGAAAGACAGGAGACTGATTTCCTTTCTATTTCAAATTAGTCTCAGATCTAGAGTCAGATCTAGAGTCAGTGTTGCTCTGTTTTGTTTACGATTTTGATAATTAACAGGGTATATCTGGCGACCAAATAGCCCCAACCAAGTGCACGGGCATTCAACATGAGCGAAAGTGCAGGCACAAGAGAAACCGCTTTCGTCACGTTGACAACCGCCGTAATTGGCTTTCAGCTCGACTCCACTTAGCAAAAATCTGGATCAGGCGACTGACTACCAACCAATTTTGTCCGCCTGGAGCATCTCGTTGTCACCCTTCGCTAACCTAACTGCAGTCGGTTGCGAACATATCACAACCACATTTAATTGAAATGATGAAAATGATATTAACAACAACAATAATGATGGTGAATAATAAAGATAGAAAATATAGGACGAAACCATCTGACAAAGAACAGAGCTGTCCACAACCAGATGAGATCGTCCAAATTAGATGGAAATGTTCAAAAGAGACAGAAAAGACAGTACAATCCTAGAATAGACGAACTTTCCGAAGACACGAAACCACCGATAATCAGACGGAACCCTCAAAAAGTGGTTGGAGTGTACGAAATCAGACGAAACCGTCTGCAAATGTACAAGATTGTCAGAAACTAGAGGGAACCGTCACAAACTTGACGGAGCCGTACAAAATAGGACGGCAGAATAAATGGTTACGTGTTAGCCAAACTAATGGAAGTACCCCCCCTCTCCCAAAAAAGAGGATCACCCAAAATTGGGATATAATTTCGAAGGATCTCTACGAATTAAATGGGCGGTAATGCTGATCCATTGAATCGCAAATGCTGTTTGTGGGTTTGAGCTAAAACTGAGAAAGTATCAAATTTAATAGACAGAAAGGAATAAACAAGGGTATTTTAACTTACGCATTCAACTCAGGAAGACTGACATATAATTGCAGCTCAGTTGTGCTTTTTATTAAGCAATCACAACATTCTACATTTAATCTCCCTCGTGAGAAATTTTAAATTACCAAGAATTTAATAAGTACTTGTGCGACTCAGTGAAACTGTTTTGCTATGAATTCCCTCGCTACTTTGTTTCACACTTTACATCGATGCCGCTGTGCAGTGCTAGGATTATTCAAGTTTGGTATATACCACACAGGTTTAACTTACTGTGCTTCGCGCGCGCTGATTGGCTAGTTTGGAAGTGATAACCAAGTAGTATTCACTTCCAAGCACTCTGAGACAAAACCGCGCGTCGAGAGTTTAATTTCCGACTTTTTTTCGGTATATTGTCAGAAATAAACCAATTCTTGTTGAATTTTTTTTTCTTTGGTTTTTGTGTAGTATATACTAAAACAATTAATCACTTCGTATGTTTACCTCCACTAAGGAGAATAATTGTTAATAATACTGAAACTTATTGTTCCATAATTCGCAAAAAGTGTAAAGAGAAAAGTCAGAGTAGCAAGCACTATTGTTACTAATAATAATGCTAATAATGGAAACCAAAATTTCAATAATTCATAAATAGCCACATCATCCCTCTGCTGGAATGAGAAAACGCTCTAAGAATAAAGTTGAAGTACACAGGAATCTAGGGTAATTTTTTACATCTGATATTCAAACAAAATAAAGAAACTGAAAACAATTCTACTCATTCTAACCAGCGAAGTAATGGAAACGTAACTTCTCTACGCAATTTCAATTTCGAAAAAACGTGCAAAAGAATTTACTTTCATTTCAGCTGGATGATGCCATGCTGTTGCAACATCAAACTCTCCGAGCTAATCTACAACGGAGAGTATTGTAGCTCTAAATTACAAATACCCAAACTCACTTGCCGCAGTCTCGTGAAAATGTTGAAGGGTTCCTGTCACATAACTATATTCTCGACGACTGAAGGCAATTCATAACAAATGAACTTCGTATTAACCAATCAGAAGAAAGAAATATCCACAGCTGATACCAATACCTAAAAGTATACATAGCCGGTCAAATTTCTGAATGTCCGACGAACTACAGTTCATTCTCATTTTGCATACAGTCTTCATGCAAACGCATACAACCGTACCCTTAATCATCAGAATAAAAATATCCTCCATATCAAAGAAGTAGCTAACACTAACAACGTCTTAGAGGACAGTTCACATCTCCTTTTCTTGTAACTTCATCTTTTTAACTCCTTAGAAGACGACCATCGCCAAACTATGCATTTGTTCCGTCTTTTACCAAATACTTCCGTGTTCAAAAGTTTTAACTTTATCACCTTCTCAAATATTGACAGCAGTAAATGCATCAGCTATAGCTCCGTGATGAAGGAGGGCATCTCTTAACAGTTACAAACTTTGAAAAATTGGTAAATTTGTAGGTAACTTCACGAACTACCGGTAGTTAGAACTTAATAGAAGGCTACATACGGTGTCACTGTGGAACTCTTTTCGTATTACACATTGCTGTGTTACCAAGCTTTCTTGGTGCACTTCATTACTACTTAAACCTTGATACTACAAGACAGAGAAAACTCACAACCACTATCTAAATGTGATATAATTGGGTCAAACTCACAATTGGATTCGTTCAAAAAGTTGCCTCTAGGTGCGAAATGACAAAAACCTACAGCAGTACCAGAAAATTGAGACAGTATTCAGCAATTCAATTCCACAGGGCAGAAACTATGAAGGAACCAATGGGAAAAATACAATTCTTCACAACCCGATTTTGCATGACAAATTTGGAAAAAGAAGTAAAACGAAAAAGAAAGAAAACAATTTTAAGTAAACCTCCCACTCCCTTATTTCACCCTAAATTCCCAGAATGTACAAGTTATGTCTTAGCTTCCTAGCTAAATTATGCATATATCACTACATATCTAACGCATAGTTATTACAACTTATTCAAATTGGATTTATCTATTTCGAGATAAATTATGCTTAAATGAAACGCAGTCATGGAACAAGCCAACTTGTCTCTCTTGAGCAGCAAAGGTGATATTCACAGGAAGCTTGCCGAAGAGCTACATACAGACAACTCAGATTTTAAGCGATTGTCGGCGGTAGCCATCCGAGATTGCAATTGTTTTGCTTTCAGTATGCCACTATCTTACTCGTGGAAAAAAATATCGCCTCACCTTCTCGACCATGTATTCAGATAGAAACCTCAAACCAATCGTAACTTGATCCCACTCATTTTCCGCGCTCGTACCACCGAGCTCTCGGTAAATTACGGATATCTGCTTTGTTTTTGATTTGCCGTTGTGAATACTAAGTTGAGGTTTAAGGATGCTCAATAAAAAGAAAAACAAAAACAGGATAGCTTCACGTGTTACCTCAGCACTCTAGCAAAAGAAGTCTTACCCTGATTAATCGAAATCACTTTCCAGTGAATATCCGGAGGGGAAACATAGCTTAAATTAGCGTCTCGCTCATCATTAGAACCAAATCACAAAAGGGAAAAAATTTGGCTTGTCTAGGCGCGCTTCTTAGGAAATAATACTTACATCTTAATTACGTGGTCTTTCGACAATACTAGAAATACCTTACCATTCCACGCAAACGCAAAACCGGAAACATCTCCCGGATACATTTCATCACCTAGCTAAGTAAATTACACAGGAATTCTTAAACTTTAATGTCAGTGTCGCTTGATGGCTCTTTCTCTTTCGCTGGGAAAGCAGGATTCACGAATGAGAAGCCATGGAAGTCATTCTGGTTGATGTTGGCTATGAATGATTTGTCGCAAGGTGTTAGTCGGGCGGCTTCGTCCGTGAACTCTGGGTCGAAATTGTCAAAGGAACGTTTAGATTTCTGTTGAGGGACAAACGCATAAAAATGAGTTAACTGCGATGACGAGTGAAAGAATAAAATCCACTACATCATCAAATCGGTGCTGAGATTTTCCATACAAGGAAATCTCAGTGTTTAAAATATAACCAGTTTATTATATAAAAAAAAAATGTTTAATTAAAAACCAGATAATAAGTCGCTCTGACGAGGGGCTACTCTTTACCGTGGCTAAATCTCATTTCCAACTCTGTTGACTGAACCAAATTATCTTGTAATACCCCCACCAAGAAAGCAATACAATTTCTTTGGAGACTTACCCCCTTTAGATGAGGTTGGTCCACATGTACGAATCTTAATCAATTTTTGCGAAAATCACAACTAACTCGTGCGCTGCGCTCACGCGTTCGTTTGGCAATGAGAGTAAAAAAAAACAAAACAATCTTTCGCCGGCGCTCAATAACAGTGAACTAATCTACACACACACACATGCACAGTGCTTACAATTTTTGGTTTGAAGGGAGGTTGAACCTCTCTGTTCATAAGTTTCAACCAGTTAGTGTGCCTAAAGAACACGTGATCCTTGATGCTTTGTTCTCCATTTTCTCCACAGCCCAGGCGTTTGGCCGGGTGTTTGGTCAGGAACTACATCAGAAAACAGAACCAAGTACTACATGCGAATTAAGAATTCACGTCAGAGAGAAAAACAGCTTAATCCTATGCACCCGAACACAAGCATTAATACTCTCCCCACAGTTCCGTTTAAAAATTCCTAAGGTACTGACATGGTGAGTTCGTTTAACAGTCAGGAGCTTTTCAAAAATTAGTGATTATTTCCCCTTATGCTCACCATCTTAAATTTTGATTCAGGGGTAAAACTGTAACGAAAAATCAAACGCCAGTTACTCTTACTGGGGTAATGGGTTGCGAATTTAACTTGAAGCGAATGCACTTAATGATATCTCGCAAATCCTTCCGTTTTTGCAGCAACGTAAAACTGGTTTTCGCGCCGAGAAGTAACTATGACGACTGATAGTCCAACAGGATGGAATAGTTCATTGCTGGAAACAAGTATATGGACCCCTTGCGCAAAAACCTCAACTCAGGTAATCTTTATTGTAACTAACTTAAAAAGGAAATATGAAGCAGCTTGGGGGGGAGAAATAACAAACATATCTTAGGAGTTAAACGGTTAAGCCCTAAGTAAAACGAATGTAAAGCACTTTGATTGCAAAGCGTAAAACAATTAACGCACAAAACGTAGTGTAGTATATCTGTTAGGTGTACAGCTTACCCCTTTGATGATGAGCACGGCTTCTTTGGATAAAGACTTGGGGTAAGACACGCTGTGCTCTAAGATAGAGTTAAATAATTCGTCTTCATCGTCCCCATCAAAAGGAGGCTATGTAAAAAAAAGAAAAAGAAAAAAAGAAGTGTTTAAAGAAGTGAATAAATGGTTATGCTGTAGACAAAAAAAAAACATTCTGCGAGGTGAGGAGCAGCCCAGGAAGAGGGAAGGCGTGTTGGTGAAAGCGCTTGCGTTCCACCGCGATTACCAGATTCGATTCCTAGACTTTGCGTCTCTAGTTGAGTTTGTTGCCGGTTTTTCTCTTTGCTGATGCTTTAAGGTTGTTTGTCCCTTTTGCTTTTCCCTTCGACACTGAATTCCGATTCGACCTCTAATCGGATCGAAACTCAGGGCAAAGAGTACTCGTTGATATCCAATGGAGGGGAGCTGACCGTACCAGCCATTCTTCAACGATATAATTCAGTAACAAGATACTAACCTGTCCCGCTAACATCTCATAAATAAGAACTCCGAGAGCCCACCAGTCCACGGAAAAACTGTAAGGCTGGTAGGCGACAATCTGCAACACAACCACAAATTATGTTAGAATTTGAAGAGCGGGAAAGGATGATGCCACGTACCTTCCCTCGAGTGCCTGAATGATTACATACAAAGAAGTTTTGTAGTTAAAGTCATTTTAAAGCGATCGCTCTCTGATTGGTCCAGAAAACTACGGCACCCTCTCGCGCAATCAGAAGACAAATTAGAACTAATCTTGACGAGCGCACTTGCGCTTTCCCGCGCTACAAACTATTTTCTTGTTTTTCCTTTAAGTTCTCAATATCTCCCATTTGTTTCTATTATTTTTTTTTTTCTTCACGATCTGATTGGCCTCTTTGATTACTTTGGTTATGATTTCTTTTGAAACAGTCCAAAAGACACTCTGAATATCACCACAAGACAAAAATATCTTCATAAAACTACAAGCTATTATCATAAGTTACCTCAGGAGCAATATAATCTGGTGTCCCACAGAATGTTCGAGTTGTCTTTCCGTCAGTCATATTTTCTTTGCACATTCCAAAATCGGCAATTTTGATGTGGCCGTCACTATCCAGCATGACATTGTCTAACTTTAAATCTCTGTAGGTGCGTGGAAAAACAACTTCGTTAACCCTTTTGATCCAAAGGTCTGGTAACCAATTCTCCCCCGTAGCTACCACTCATTTCTTGTATTATAGTGACGCCGGGGAGTTTGGTGTTAGATCAAGATAACAAAATTCTATGCGGTAAATTTGAATATTCTGAAAACTTGTTTGCTGGATAAGGTATGGATGCTACAGGAAGGAGTTGCATGTTGAACACTTCTGCGAGTTACAGGTTAAAAATGACACTCTGAAATAATCGTTATCGTGTATGCGCAAGAGCTACGACGACTGTGCAATAGTCAATTTCTTCTTTCAATTTTTTTTTTTTCACTTTTTTTCCTAGCGTTTCTATGGCTGATGCAAAGTCGAAGTCGTCGACGTAGCGTAGTCGAAGACGTTGGCGATTGAATTTTTTGAGAACTATTTTCTTTTTAACAGAAAAAATACTTTCAGAAGTTACGGAGTACGCAAAATGACCAAAAGAAATATTTATTGCCACCATTCATACTACTGGATGAACAAAAGCAAAGAGAGAGCCAAGTGTTTTTCCCAAGAACACATCACACCGCCTGCGGCCAGAACTAAAAAATGTGTATCAGAAAATTAGGGAGACGCATATCTCACCACTGTTTGAAGGAGAGAACAAAATACGTTGTATACAGTAACAACTTGTACCTGTAAACAATGCCTCTTTTGTGTAGAAACAACAATCCAAGGACAATTTCCGCTACATAGAAACTATAATGCAAAATAGAAAAGCTCATCAACACGTTTGTTCATTTTACCATCAATATAAAAATATACCGAAGAGAGAAAAAGAGACAGGCATCAACTACAATCCAAACAGGGACAACAAATTATTCAGTGTATAAAGTACCCATGAAATGTGTGTACAGGCAGTCTGATCTTTCCACCCCTTGACTGCATAACCATTTAACGATTTTTTTTCTTCGTAATTTGGATATATCAGCAAAGTTGAAATGGTAAATTAGCCACCGTAATGATTACAAAAGCTGACGTTTCGAGCGTTAGCCTTCGTCGGAGCGAATAGACTATTTGCTCCGACGAAGGGCTAACGCTCGAAAGGTCAGCTTTTGTTATCATTACGGTGGCTAATTTACCATTTCAACTTTGTTGATATATCCAAATTATTTCGTTACTCCCACCGACGCAGCCCCAAACAGTTTCTTTCGAAACTATCAGCCTTTTTTCTTCATATCATTACAAGACAATATCATTTTGACTATAAGGAAGCAAACCTATGAAACCAACTGGGAGAATTACACTGTACCTACATGTACGTTCACAAGCTTTTGATGCACTTGGTTGTGTTATTGTCCTCAAAATGTGGTTTGCAATTGCAAAAGATTTTCCATGTAGCAGAAAAGGTTGCCAAAAGTTTCAAAGAACGTGAACTTGTCACATGGATTTTTTGTTTTTTACTTTGGATTCTGAGCTCAAGCGATCTTGAGTGGGCTTGAAGGATACCCAATCATATCAAAGGATTCGCATTGTTTTACCTGCTCCTGGGCTAAAGAACTTACATTGTACTTGCCATCTATATAAGGTACTATAACACTTATACTCAAAACATACACTGCTTGTGGCTCCTTAAATCTGCCGTGTTGCTGGATGTGAAACATCAAATCTCCACCGTTGACATACTCCATCACAAAGTAGAGGCGGTCCTATAGCAAATTTTATAGGAAAATTCATTACCCGACGAGGGAATTCCGCATTAAATTGCACGCGAAAACCGATATCGCGATGAGTGCGATATCGGTTTTCAAGTGCAATTTAATGTGGAATTCACGAGTGAAGTAATGGATTTTCCGTGAATCGCATAACTGAATAAAAGTGTGAGAAAAAGGGAAACAGCATTACTTAAAATTGTTATGTTTACGTAGATGCGAAACAATATCACTTAGCCTCGTTTTCAACTCGCAATTCCACGCTAAATACCTCGCTTCGTTAACCAATCAGAATGCGAGATTTTATTCAATGATGCTTTTCTGTTAGAGAAAGGGGTTAACCTTGACCTTCCATAAGCAACCACCACAGACTTTATCGTCTCGATATCCGTACAATGGCAGACAGTAGGGAGAATCTTGGAAGTGAGAGGCCAGGTCTCCACACTAACAGTAGCTCACTAGCCACAGACTAGTAAAAATTCAGTTTTGGCTAGTGGTTTTTTGATTTCCACTTAAGCCAGGTTAGCTAGTAAACAAACTAAAATTGTCGTAACATCTAAGTCGTCACTAGCCACTTGGCTAGTGAGTTGAAAAGTTAAGTGTCGAGCCCCGGAAAGGGTTACACAAGTTCGTCACTGATGTAACTCTCTAATGGATATTTGAATCACTGGTGAAAATCTGTCACTCTCTCCTTTGAACTGAACTGCAGCAAAGAATCGATTCCAAGAAAATATCAATGCTAAAAAAACTCACATATGACTGGAAGCAGCAGAAAAGAGACGTGAGAAATGGTGGTTTGCCGTGTAAGCCTAGTACCCTCTTCTCTGTCATAGTACACTCCACATCATCATCTTGAACAATGACATCTTTCTTTAAAACTTTGATGGCATACACTTCATCCGTGCCTTTCCGCTCTGCTAACATGACCTAGAAATACAGAACAAGTCATTAAAAAAAAATCACCCAAAATTATTCTGGAACTTGAAAACTTGCTGTCTGGTCAACCACAGTAGATTAATCCTACCTGACAAGCAACTTATCCTAATAATTTGCTAACTGGGGAAAGTTCCAGACGAGACAGATTGTGTTCCATACCCAGAGAGGAAAAGCTTCATTACTGAGATTGTTTCAATCTTAAGAAGATGATGTCACAACAACAACATTTCAGGAAATACTTTCCTTAAAAAGCAGCTAATGAGTGAGAAATCTGTGAACATATATTTAGCTCCCTGCATTAGTAAACTTCCTGTCATCTGCACTGTGATTCATATTATCTGTTACTAGTACTGGAACCATAAAATTAAAATACTACTACAGATTTTTGTACAAACCTTTCCGAAGCTTCCTTTACCAAGAACTTTGAGGAAGTGAAAATCTTCTGGCCTGTATCTAGTACCATCTTCCTTGCCGCGAAATACTTGTGCAGCTTGGTACTCTCTCTCTTGCCTTTCCTCTTCTTCTTTTAACTGTGCCTGCATAAACTACAGATCAAGGAAAATTCCTCTAAATATTGGTGCATAAAAATAATCTGAGAAAATAACAGCCTTCACAGGCAGGTGTTAGCAGGGGAAACAGTGATACTGGAACATGCAATGACACAATCACATTTAAGTTACCATAACAGCAACTATAAACAACAAATCTTTTATTACTTGCACATAGAGATATTCAAATGAAAGAATTGGAAAACTATTTACAATTAACCAGCAAGTTTTTAAAAATGCATTGTTTAATTATCACTAGAGTCAAGAGGAACCATGAGGTTTCAAGCCACAATTGTAGCCCCAACCCATTTTAAGTCAGTTTATGTTAAATTGAGCAGGTAAGGAAAAAAGAGAAAAAAGACTTAATAAGTTCTTTTGTATCACTATGTAACACAGAAACTACAATTTCCTATCAAATTACAAACAGCAAAGCAAATAACGTTTCTCTTCTTTGGCAAAAGAGAAATTCAATGTATTCTCAAACTCAACAATAAAGAGCAACACTAAAACACTGTACATCTGTACATGTACATGCCCCCAAATAATTTACCTTATATTTGTTTCTAAGCTCCAACACTGCTGGGCCTTCTTCATCAGTATCAATGATAGGAATGTTATAAAAATTTCCTTCCACTTTGCCCAGAAGCTTGAACCAGCCCTCTTGTGGTTGTTTCACCAGCTCAGAAACTCCAAATGACAAGCAACCCATAAAGTCATTACGTGACGCTCTGTCCCAGTCCCAGACAGCAACAAACAAACGTCGATTATAGTCCTCATTATCAAGTGTGCTGATCAAAGAAAAGGAAGATTAATGCAGTAGCATTAATGCAACTATAATTGACCATTATTGACCAAACACAAGGTTGGTTACTCCCAAAATATCTCAACAATAAAAAAAGCAATATTTCAGATATGTTGTTTAATCAAGACATGCTTTCCAACAAAGGCTTTAAGAGACTGTAATGAAGCGATGTATCATATTAACTTGGAGAAATGCATAGGAGTGAACATGCTATCCCCAATCCTCAAGAGAGAGTTTACAATTGCAAAAGACTTTCTAAGGCCCAGAAAGTATTCCCTAAAAGTTTCAAAGAATGTGAACCTATCACAATTCTTTTTTTTGTTTTTGGATCCTGAGCTCAAGCAATCTTGAGAGGGAAAAAGAGAATGACCAGTGATATCAAAGGGTCCCCCTAAACTTGCCTGTTCATGGAGGTAGCCTTACATAAAGGAACTATAAGGTGAAAATTAATGTTAATTTTTAAACAGCCCAGTGTGTGTTAGCTTACATCTGAAAACATTACAAGGATTAACAAACAAAAATGGTTGGGAACTTACATGTCAAAAGTTTCATTAAATTCTGGGTTCAGGTTCTTATAGACAACCTTAGTTTTGAATTTTTTTTTCTTGTCCGAGTCGTTTTTTTTCTTGCTGATGTCCTCCTGTGTGTTGTCAATAAGCCTGATCTTGACGTAAGGATCAGAGAGACCATTTGGATCCATAGGAATGAGATTCTTAGCATCACGAACTACAACATAATGAAACACATAAAAAGGGAGTTGAAAAAACACCAAAGTCATTTATGACTATTTCAGATCTCATCAGGTAGTAGATAATAATAAATAATAAATATTTATTAATTAATATTATTTACTAGGATAGGCTCTGAAATAGTCAGTTAAATATTTATTATTTATTACAATTAGCCTTGAAGCCTAGATACAGAATGAGAAGAATGCACATGTCAAATAACGTTGTTGTCAAAGCTTTGACAGAATCTAAAGAAGGCAGGGCTTACTAAATTTTTATCAGAATTAGATTGCAAGGCATCATGGGAGGGTTAGATGTAATACTGTCAAATACACAACAATTTTCATAGATTCTGATTGACCACATCTTCTGTGGTACACATATGATTTTGTTTCCTATTTTTCTTGGATATGCAATAAAGCATGTAATGTTCTCTGACTGCCAACAAACTGTGTTTTATTAAGACATCTAATTTCCTAGCCTGTGGGGTAGTGATTAAAACAAATGCCAGCAGGTGTCTGAGGAAGTTTAAACTCAACATTAAACAATTGTTCATGCAAATATATTTAGGATCGATAATTTGAGTTTAAATCATTACTTCCTTTTTGTTTTCTTTTTTTCTTTTTTCTTTGTCAAAAAGGAAAAAAAGTGAATACCAATGCAAAAACATCCAACATTCAATTTCCAATTGGTGGCACCAGTGACCAGTGACCTTAAATGTTTAAAAGCAACATGAGCTTGACAGCTGAGCAAGAAACAACACTGAAAACATTAAGTTTCAAATTAAAGGGTGTGGTATGCAAATATCAGAACACATAATTGTTAGCAAATGCATTAATTTTGTAGTTTAAAATGCATTTCCAATCAAAATAATTTCATCCTAGCAAGAACTGCCCTTCCCTTTTTTCCAAATACACATCCAACTAATGCATTCCTTAGACAAAGAAAAATGCTTATCACACTACAAGTATGTGTGGTACAAAATTATTTCAACCTGAAGGAATTTTCAATTGTAATGTTATCTGTCAAACAAGCAATTTTCCAGATGTTTCCAAAAAAATTACAGCTTTTTTCCTTCAACACTAGGCTCCAAGCTTCTCCTTAATCAAAGATGCCATTTGGTGACTTCACATAATCACATCCTTGCAAAGAATAAAACTTTGGTTGTCAGAGAAGGACACTGTGTGTATGTTTGTGAGATTAACTATGCTTCTGTTTTCTTTTCTACCTTGAAGCACTGCAACAATACTTAAAATAAAATCGTCATTTCTTTTAACATACAATTGCTTTCCATCTACTTTTGGAACACTAAAAGGTCAAGAGATTAATGCCTGGGACTTACAAATCCCTCACAAGTTTGGGCTAAACCTCTGGCAGTATATGCTACAAAGATTATTCTCCTGCTAAATTTTGATGGCTTGGGATGTTTTTTTGATAATTTTAACAAGAATTTCCTTCAGTTCCTTGGCATTTTCCTCTTGCTATTACATTTTGAAATGAAATCCCAGGTAAAATTGATGGAAGTTGAAATTGACTGACTGATGTGGGCCTGTAACTGATAACAATCTACTAGCAAATGCACCAACTCATTCAGAAAAACTCTTATTTCTACATACAAGCAGTTCTTTCTCAACTAGTCATAAACATAGGCATGCTATGCATGCAGAAGTTATTTTTTTGGGATACGTAGGTTGAAATAGGACACTATACAATTGATACTGGTGTCTGAATAATTATTGGCAAAAATAAACTGCATTGGTACAACGCTTCCTGCAGTCCCCTCCACAGCCCTAATTTGAACTTGTCACACAACGCTCTCTCTCTCTCTCCAACATTGCACGACGAGACCAAACGACGACCTACTCGTAGGTTAAAATTGTGCTTATTGCCGTTCCTTCATCAGAGACAAAGTCCTAGTTATTATTCTGACCATTAAGGGCCAGAATCAGAAATTCCGTTTGGTTTTTCCTGTGCAAGAAAATGCACAATAGCCCGCAGTTTTTAATTAGCGTAAAGTAATGTGGTGGACATATCCAGGGAATGAGGTTGAGTTTTGGCATTGAGTGTCAGTCAGATTTGAAGTACTGGCTGCGCATCAACAATAAGCTTGTTACAGTTTATACTCGTCTTTCGAGTGAACTTAAATATATTTATTTAAAGTACAAACCTAGTACAGTGAATCACTACTGTGAGGAGTATTTCCAAATTGTCATGGATGACATCAACTTGTTCTGAAGTCTTAGTCTCCATAACTCTCCATGTTAACAAACCACGAATAGCACTCGACAGCGATTTTGCTAAAACAGCAAAGTTCTCAATTCGAACCAATTCAATTCAATCCGCTGATCCACAGATCCGGCCCAAATATAGGCTCCGCATAGCTTCTTGTTCAGTAACAGATGGTTGCCTCAAAATACTCTTCCATATAATTTTGCAGTGGAAAGCTCTATTTTATCTCTTACTGCCTCTGGACAAAGATATTTTCCGGTCTCCATTCTTCGAACAAGTGAAAGTAGATTGAACCAAGAGAAAGTATCATTCTTCAAAGGATAATGAGGTGGGCTACTTGATTGGTTGTTGCCTATCTGGACTTTGCCCTGTGTGTGTGAAATATGTGATAAAATGCAGGTTGTTTACAGGAAATTGACATGCAATGGGGTAAAGTCCAGGTTAGCTATAAGCAAATTTTATTGGTAGAAAACGTCTAAGCACATGAGAGTTGCGTGGAAAAGTAACTGACAGTACCATTCTGTCCCTTGTGTAATATTTTTCGTTGAGGTAGATTTATGTCATAAAATTTACGTTGTTCACTGGAAAATGGCATTTCACCTGAGAAAGGCTAATCCATACTGGCGAGTAAAAAGTAACCCGCAATTGTAACGGGAAAGTATTGTTTAAACAATATTTAATTCATGGAGAACTTTTAGAAGCAAAGAGACGGATATGTAACATGGCAGTCAACGCAGAAAGTAAATGTAACTTGGTAGTCATTTCAACCGCTGCAAAAAGAGCAACCATATGGCAAAAAAAAGATTATCAATCAAATATGATTTATGCAAATGTCTTGGGGAAGTTTTACCAGAGTCAGCAAAACTAGCCCTTCCAAAACAACATGCTATAGCACAAAATTCTTGTTAGGTCTCCAGCTGACAGTGTGTGCGTCGTAAGTGAAGGAGTGGTACACATACAAGCTCATTTTAACTCGCTAATCGGTAGAAAAAGTTCCCTGACGACCTTTCAAATCCAGACAGATCATAGCAATAAAATCCTCACAAAGGACATGAGCCATTACATTGAAGAGATGATCTTAGAACTCCTGTAGATGTCATCTTACCTCATTCCTTGAGCGAAACTCAAAATTGGAATTGCTCATTAACTCATATATAGCAATGAAATATCCTGAAGTTGCTCCTATCAACAACTGAAGTAATATTTGATTCAAGATTTTTCTCATGTTCCACTCACTCTCCTTCAGAAGGAAGAATAAGCATAGTCATACAACGATCACAACTACACCACTTTCCCAACACGACTGATACACTTCCTAAATTCGCGAACCACTCTCTCTGACTCAAGTGTTGATTCGCTGAAATTTGAAGACCTGTCAAACCACAAATTAGCAAGACCGCTCTGATTGGTGCGACATCGAAAAATACTACAATCTGATTGGTTTGTGATACACCAAAAAACTGGGCCAATCACATTGCGTTGAGATACACCAAAAAAAAGATGCGCCAATCATATTGCTTAAAGATACACCAAATTGCCCTGATCGGGTTACACTACACCAGAATACACCAATCTATACACTAACATATAGTTATTTTTAAAAAAAAAAAAAAAACTCAAAAATGAATCAACCATTAAGACTTTGGTTTCCTCTGTTCACAATATATAATAAAGAGTGGAACATAAAACTTTAAGAACCAAAACAATACAATCACAACTTGACAGCACTCCAAACTGCAACTATTTGGATGCCATGGTAAGTACTAAAGATGTGAAAATTTTCAAGTGGCAACTTATGTTGGGAGGTCACACAGCAGGTGATAACATTTATCACATGTTTTTGTAATCAGAGAAAAACATTTGCATAAAAGACAACTTATGCTCATTTTTTTGGATAAAACATTACCTCTTTCTTCTATGCCATTTCAGAGACAACAGGCATGGCCAGCAGAATGGTATACTTCATTCAATACTGCACAGACTGTTTTTGTATCCTGTTTTTGCATCCTGTTTTTGACTTAAATACAATTTTATTTTATGATTTTGAATAGTCATTTGCAACTTTGTAAAAAATTAAAGCCTTCGAGACAAGATATACGCTCTAAAGGTGTCAACATTCAGGATTAGTCCTTCTAATTTTAGGTGACTAGAATTATCTTCAAGATGTGCAAAAATCTTTTTTACAGGTTGCAGTTAAGTACCATATTTAAACTAACCAGATACTTAGAGAATTACCTTCTTGTTTTATTTGAAATCAAAAGTGCTTTAAACAAAAGCCAGTACAAGAGGATTAATATTTTGTTCCCCTGCTCTGAATAAAAAAGAATGAGGTGCCAAAAAAGGTAAAAAACACAATGTCACAGGCCACACACGGATATGTCTTATTGTACTGCATATCTATTGTAAAATCAACATATTTTCCTAATAATTATTGGTGTGATTAATTAATCGTTTTTCAAAAACCTCGAGGAATGTTCTAAGTATAGCAATTTTACATATAGCAATTTTATGATATTTCAATATTCTATGAAGTAGGTGATTACAGCTTGGAATCTGCATATTTGAGATCTTCCTTCTAACTGTCATTTCAAGTCAATAGTCCACTATCTGATTCTTTGTTATTTTAAACAGATGGCATCATAAATAATGAAAGATGGATGAGTCTCCCAGAGGAAAAAAGCATTTTGACTGTATACAACTAGCCACCTGATGGCAAAGGATGTTATTGTATTCACATGCAATATTCTTTGGTAGTAGAAACACATTGGCAAATTTCCAGAGGTGCTTCAGGCCATTAATCATCAACAGCCATAGCAAGACATATTTACTCTGACAAGAGGATGTTAAATTCATTAAAATTTGCTTCTTATTCTATCAAATAAATCCGAGATCAATATTTTTTTCACACCAAAGGAAAGATGAATTCTATTCACGAAATAAATTACTGGAAATAGTCCCTCTAAAAATTTCAATTTTTCCCACTAGGTCGGGTCAGGTTTCATAAAGTCCTGGAATGTGGTATTAGTTAATGGCATCATACGACAACAAATTCACTGTTTTAGACTCCATAGACAATTAAAATTCACTTAAGTATTAACTGTTTTAACCAACACCTTACATGTTCTGCTTGTCGCAATACATGGAAAATAAGAACGTTTTAAAAAGCAGGTGTATTCGACTGTATTTTGAGTGAAAGCTGTTTTGAGGAACTAGCAAAATTCAAATTTACTTTCCCAAAAAGAGATAATAATAAGATATGCTTGACTGCCCAAATAAATTCACTACTTTTAAACTATATTGTTGTAGCCCTCAAGATGTTTTCGAGATATATAGGTTACGTATATTTTCGTTAAATAAATGTGTATTGCTACACTGAAGTAATAATGTACCAAAAAAAATGTCGATTTTGACAAAAGGTGTTCGTAAATTAGTTATTCATCACTCGGTAAAACACATCATATACATCTTGTAGGGATAACTTCGACAAAACATTGGCTTAATATGCAAATTTCATTAAGCAAACCTTCAACTTTCAGTTGACTCTTTGCGCTGTCTTCGATCCAAACTTTAAGGTGTATTCTGCCCCTTCGCTCTGTATGATCGACACCACATAGTTTCGGTAACAACTTTATGCACCTCTTGTGCACATTCATCTGACAGTCTGCAAACACATAAGTGATCCGACACGCAAGTCATTTCCTTACCCTTGCAAAAGCAATGCATTGGTAATCAGTTATCGCCTGTTTCACAACGGATCGAAGCTAACAACAGAAGTTTGAACCCTTTAAATGGGGTCGCTAAATAACAACGAGCAAGCTACTAAAATGAACGAAAGTGAAAATGAACATAGGAAACGAACAATTCATCATACCTTCGCATTGTACTCCTTGGTGATAGAGTCCGTAAAGTAGAGATCCGCAATGATCACAAAATGTAGGACTAGTATAGGTGCGAACTTTAAAAGGGTGGGCTGATTCAAGGCCCTGTGAGGAAAAAAAAAGAAAGTAACTTCAACAAAAACACTTCAAGCGATCAGAATCAGAGTTAATAATCCCACGCGCGAAGAATCGCTTGTATACAAGAATGTGAGTAAAAAAGAAACAGAAAATTAAACAAATAAATAATAATAAAGAAAAAAACAATTCTCAGAGACATTCAAAGTTATCTTACCTCGGTGGCAGCCCCTGTCTCCGCTCCAGGACAAGAAAAGGTCACAAATTGACAACAGCGCTTGTGAAGCACAAACGAACACCCTACGAGAAAATTTGTAGAGAGAGAAGTATAGACATAAACACGACGTTATTGACAGTTGACAAGTTCTAGCTCGACTTTAGCGTAAGCCTATTGTACCCAAATGTCTATGCGTCTCCGATTCGACATATCCCAGTTTATTACTGCACGGGAAAATTGACCACAATACCTTGGCATTGGCATCCCTGCTTTCCGATAAAACCCCTGTTAAAACACCACAAGAAAACAAAACCACAATTAAGACGGTAAAAAAATAGGAAACACGGTAGCCAGTATAGATCTTCGACAAAAGAAATTCACATAAAAGACGAATCGAAAGATGAGAGAAATAACATTGAGTGAAAACTTGCCAAATAAAATCTTTGCAGTGACCACAAAACGTTGGCTGTCTCAGGTATCGAAAAAAAAACTTATGGCCTTTGACTTCGATCACATTCTTCTGCTTAAAAGCGCCCCTTCTGTTTATTCCCCGAGTTTTGTTCGCACCATCAGGGTCCGCCATGTTACCTTTCGCTGCATCGAACCATCTGCAGCCCAACTTGATTTTGGCTTTCCGCTAACTATGTGACGTCACGGTCCAGTTCCTTATATGGAAGGGCTCTTAAATGGTGCCAGATTTTCCAAAACGGACATGTTTAACTTTACCGCTTTGCAAATTCGCAAAAATTTACTAATTTTGATGAGTGACAGAAACAATTGTAGGTTTCTGAGGGAAAATTTTGACTGATTAACCCTATTTTGTGCGCGTTTAATGGCTGCAAGCTGAATAATTCCTTTTGTTGGTGACGGCACGCAAAGATCTTGATTTGCATTATCAACAATTTTTGCAAGTGGATTGATCGGCCGTGTCGACTGAAGATATAAACAGCACCTTCACGGGTTGTCGCCCTACCGGATATACTGCAGATCGCAATCATCAGAAAACAATAGCGGTATAAATAAAGCGAAATATTATTTCTTCAGTTCATTGATATTTTTTCTTGGAAGAGAAAAACGAAATCCGACGATCGACCTTGCAAAAAACTGGCTTCTTTGAGATATTCTATCGAAATGCATGTCCTTTATTCCTTTAATTCTGGATAGATTTCCAACTAGAGCCACATTTAGACTAGCAGTGACTATTTGTTACTTAGTTATACCTAAAATGTAATAAACGTTTGGTAAAATCTACGCTAATCAATTAACCAAATGCCCTGTTCCAATATTCGAGGTCTTGTAAGATAGTGTTATTAGTCATTATTGAAACCCGAAGTCATTTTTTATGCTGAAAATTAAAATCTTGAAAAAAAAGCAGCCGGCAGGTGTTACTTCTACTTCAAGTGGACAGGTCACTTCTTTTGAATATTTTCCATCCCCCAAATCAAAATAACTTTTTCTTTTTACAATTACCTTAAGTGGACTATCACAAAATATTTGGATAAAACACTAAAACGATCCTCTAGACAATTCGTGTCACAACGAAGAGCGATCAAAAATAGAATGCAAAATACTCCGCGGTTAGGTTTAGTGAATTTCCATAATTTTTCTCGATTCCCGCGAAAATTAAACTCCCGTCGTTAGGCAACCATTCTTTGGCTAACATATTTCTGGATCGAGCAAAAACCGACGGCAGCGAGCCAGCCGAGGAAATATGCGTAGCACTTTTTCTAGAGCCGCTTGTGTTCTAGTACACTTGGGGTCGCTACACATTCCTTGAATTAAGGATCATTCACATGAATCGCCGGATCTCTTACTGACCAGCATTTAAATTTCGAAACCACATTCCTCAAAAGGAAAATTGCTTTGGCTAATGGATGATCTTAATTTGATGCAACGATATAGTACACAATGGCTCTCTTTCGATAATGCACCATAACAGACAAGACAACACGACAGATTTTCTTTATTTACTTTATTATTTTTTCAAAATCACCGGCAAAACATTTTTTAGAGGCAGATTGTTCATCGCATCGCCGAGACATTGGATCACTTGAGAAAAAAACACGAATATATAAGGCTTTCCGGCGCCATCTAATTGAATTAGCTTACGGGATAAGGAAAACCCTAATTATTCAACCAATTGTTTTTTGAATAGCCGAGTCCTCGGCGTACCAGTGCACTTGTTCAATAAATGAATAAGACAATATATACGTATGCGCAGATCATTATCCAAAAGTATTCAAAGATGAATAGCATCAGTTACCTCGATTATGCAAGAAAACAGCCAAACCTCTTTGGGAGGGGTCAGTAATCCTAAGCTTGAGACAAAGAGATCAGAAATACATTTGTTTTTTCACTGATTTGGAATAACTTCTTTCCTACCTCCAGAAGATGCGATGCTCGCCCTCAAAGCTGAGTCAATTTCGAAACTGAAACCTAGCGTAAGCTACCTTGAGCTGATCCAGGTAGAAAACGTCTGATACAGAAAAAAACTTTTTCTCTCCCGCAGAACTTTATTTCAAGCATATATGACTGCACATTTCATATTATTCAAACAATCATAAAACCAATAAGTCCCCCCCCCCTCTTTCAGACAGAAAACATGTTTGTGAAAGGAACTTGATGGAGATGAGGGGGTTAGCAAAGAGGAGGCTTAGTTAGGGAGGGGGGCTCATCTATAATAAAGGAACTTAGTAGAGAGGAGAAAGGCTCATTTGGGCATTTGCATTGAACAAACCTGCCGTCATCATATATTCAGGAAACGTGCAATTTAAATATAACCAACTGCCTGGCTATGGCTCTTTAGCTGAGCCTGCTTTGCACGCGAGCCAAGTGGCTTACATACTTCGGACTTATTCAGATGTCCACAATATCAAGCGATCAGGAGAACTGCTATTCTTTCTTATACAACCCCACTCCGGGCTGTCTCTTTATCCGGTTCAACCTCATTTACAATACTGCACGCAGGCGAGGGAGAAAAGGACAGTGATCGCAATCTTCGGCTAAAGCTTGAACCTAAAGCTTCCTATTTGAAGATCAGCCACCTCACATGCTTGGTTTCTTCTTGCTCTTGCCTCAGTCAAATTAATATCGTTGCTATCAAGAGAAAATCATGCTCCAATAATCTTCACAGCCTTCGGAAAATATCGCCCTGTGAGATAACAAAAGAAACTGAAAAAGACATTGCAATAATAAATAAGAAAGCACACAAGCAACACGTTCTGTTGTGATTGATGTTACGAGTGGAGTCAATGAAGCGAAAGAAAAAATTTGGAGGAGAACATGGGAGATTTCACGAACATTTGCACTGCTAAACTGCCAAGCTCGGCTAACATCTTTGTTTTGATTTCTCCCGCAGGCAATTGTATGAAGCCGAATAGAGGCCAAATTATAACCACGCCAGTATGCTTCATTTAACTGGCTCTCTATCGCAAGATGAGACAACCAACTGGGACTCCACAATAGCGCATCACAGATTAAACCAAATGAATTCAAACAAGCTATCAGTCATTCATAACCACTTAAGCCAAGGAGGCGTTGAGTGATATCCGCTTTGCCGGCTTTTCAAAACATTCACAAGAAATAGTTTTTCAATGCAGATTTCTCTATTTCTATTTAAAACCATTTGGAGTCAATTTACCTTGACAAAGCGTCGGCTAGTATTATGTCACATAACAAGAACTAAATTGGCCATTTAGGACTAAATCGTGTATAAAAGAAGAGATTAGTGGCAATCGTTGGGCTAAGCAAATTCATTCAGAGAGAGATCCAGAATGCGAAAGAGGGATCGATAAGTTTATAGAGCGTTAACTCCTAAGGACTCACGTATTTTTATCGCTCGCCCGCCCACCCGTTCCATCAAACGAGCGCAAAATTAAGCAAACAGCCACGAACCACAAGCCACAAGCCACTGGTCAAAAGCCTTACGTGACTTGTTTATTATCAATTCTAATACAATTTGTACCTTTTTAATTCCCCAGGATAATAATCTATGAACAAGATAAGCATTGTACCATTTCGGAGGCAAAATTTGATGAACGGTTTTGAGACAAAGAACTTGACTTAGGTTTGATTCATTGTCAATTTTTGTGTCATCTTGCATGAGTGCCGCACGTTTACGCATGATAATGAGAAAATGTGGCGGACAATACAAGCATGATTACGTCAATACAGTGTTACAAAATTGCGGGGTGTAATTATAGAACAGCCATCTCGAAGTACTGCTCAGCTGTTTTTCTACCATAAAACAGCGGATTTTTCTAGTTTAGGGGCTAGTCTGTAATGCCGTGAAAGAAGTAGGAAAATCCAACGAGCCTACATACTTTTTACTTCAGTCGGCACGTCCTAGTTGAAAACCTTAACAACTTTTTGCAAACTCGTAGGCGTTTATTGCGTGCGAAAACAGAATAGAGTGGGTGGATCAATCCCAAAAGAGCGCTTCTTCGGCAACATTACACACTTGGTCTTTTCACTGATTAACGGTCCTTGAACGAGCGAATAAGCACCCTGTGACCATGCCGCTGTTTTGTGTAACCAGTCATGTTCTAGCCCACCAGAACATGAGCTTTGTCACGTCTGACGGTTATGTCTATAGAAATGCCGAGCACATCGATCAATGTTTTCAATGTGGGCGTTTTAGACGTCAAAAAAAATTTCTAACCATATTTTTACCATATGGTTTTATAAGCGACAAGCCCGAATGAGTGCCAAATTGATCATCCGATACAAGTTGCACCTCAGAGATCTGATGTTAATTCTCCCCTCTAGCTGCTAGATATTTCCTGATAAGTCAGTTGGGTAAATTTGCTGTTAGACCGAGATAACAGCTTCTACATGATAACTTTGAGTATTCTCATTACCTTTTTGCAGGATAATGTATGCATATTACAAGGAGAAGTTACATGTTAATCACTTCAGGGAGTTAAAAGATTAATTTTAAATATCTCTATATAACAACAATACTGTCCCGTGTAGCACACAGGGCGAGTTGGTGAGGCACTCATACAGCCATGAGAAATCCTTTCCTATGCCTCTATTCTCTGCTGCTTTCTGTGAGCACGGGAAAAATTCAAAACTTCTCGTACACTGCTGCTATCCTCGATTCTTTTCCTAATCAGTGCATGCCAATTGAGCTAACCGCCTCCCGGTTAGCTCAATGGCTTAGAGCGCCGGATTGTGTTGTGCGGGAGGTCGAGGGTTCACGCCCTGGCCGGACCGTTACTTATGGTCTTAAAATCAGTGAGGAGAATTTGCTACCTTTCTATAATCAAAAAATGGATAGATATTCTAGTCTTCTCGGATAAGGACGAATAAACCGTAGGCCCCGTCTCCTGCAGGGTTAGGGGTAGGAGACGGTAATTTCCCACGCCCGAGATTACTATGTAGTGGATGTCCTTCCCTGGGGTGGGATGGGTGGGAATTAGCCCTGAAAAGCCCCCATTGGGAGTGGCCAACTAACGAATGTATGTATGCGGCTGTTTATTTCTTTCATCACTTACTGTCTGTATTACATGTTACAGAGGATTACAGGGTCGTTCTGGAAGGGACAGATGCACGTTGAAGATTCCTTTACCACAGCTATTATCGCCAAATAACCACAGAAATCACATATGTTTCCTTATTACACAGATGGGAGGAGTGGAGTGGTCGGTGACGGTCCTGCCTCATGCATCCGCAGTTCACTTGTCTCTAATTTCTAATTTAAAACTAAACCATAAATTGGTTAACATGAGATAAACTGATTCCCACGAGATGTCAAGTTCCTGCTGTGTACGTACACTCAGCTCTTTGTTCCTCACGAAAGGTCCTCAACAGTATCGGTCACTCCTCTAGCTTGACTTTACAAAGGTGTACTTTAACTAGTACTCAGTTTCCTCGAATTACTCTCCGAACATGCGATGCCTATCATGGTTCACCGAATGCTCCTCATCTTCCGGCAGTAAATGATTGGATTGAGGGCAGAGTTCAGTTGGACAAGAGTCCATGAAGACACGAATATCATCGTGAAAATAGGTTGTTGATGTGGATGTGTTATAAAATGACGTAGACAGTCGACAAAAAGCTGAGGAAAAAAAAAAAAGTCTTTTCATAGGATTACACAATTACTGGTGAACCAGTAGTTTCCATTGTGGTCCTTGCAAACAAATGAAACAAATGGTCTAAATTGAACATAACATCATTAAGAACCCCAACCGGCCGGAGGCAAACCAGTTGGCTATTTACAAGCGTGGCCAAGGATCTGAACTCAGCCACATTGCCTCCCAACATACCCAAAATGCAGATAACATACCCAAAGTGCACCGTGAATCCAGTATGTACTCCGAGCAGATTTGTTAACCCTGACATCATTTATTATGTTATGGCTGTTTTGAGATAAATTTTCCCTAGCCTGAACCCGTAAATGTTGGCGTCTGATCGTTAAATAAACCTTTAAAGTAAACCATGTGGTGGAAAAGAAGCAAAATAATTCGATAAGGAAAAATATCCCAAGACATTCTCTGTGAGAAGGAACACGTTTACCAAGCCAAGAAATGCACTAAAAAGCTATATTGTAATAACCGTGATAACCACTCGTTCGGGAGTCACCAGTTGCTGGTAACGCAAAGGCCTCCAAATGGAAACGAATCTGTCCGCACTTACGGCTGTAATACCAAAAAACGACGATAGAAAGAGGACATTGGTAATGAGGAAAAAAGAAGTACGTAGTTTATGCAAGTTGCCGTGTACTTGGCCCACTCGTCGAGCGATGTATTATGGTTGACCCAGAATTCCAACACCGAGATCAGAAACAGCAAGGCTTAAAAGCAATATTTTTAAAGTTTTTGACAGAGAAGAAGTTTTTCGCAGAGCTTGGATTGCTAGAATGTTCATGATAATGGTTGGATAGCATAGGAAATGTTGAGGACGGTTTTAGCCACGAGAACAGAATACATTGGATCTTGTAAAGTCCCAGAGCTTGAATTTTGTCGTTCCGAGCCAGAGAGTGAGTTATTCATAATTATTTTTAACTGTTTAGACTGGGTTCAACTTCACTTGAAGTTAGTTTATACTTTTTGAAGATGTACACCGTCTGGAGAACAAGTAAGACAATGCAAGCATCACAAGAGAATAGGAAACTGCAATAAAACTGTCCGCCTTTTGTCTTTAGGTTTTCATTTCGCAGTAAACTTTGCTATTTCATTGGCTATAATAACGTAGTTAACGAGAATTTTTGTGACATCTGTCTTATTCTTTTTAGGCCTAGGGTTGAACAAAGTGTTTCTATGGGAAAAAAGTCAACTCATTTACGCAGGAAACAATGCTAGGGCAATTATAGAAGGTAATTTTCTTCACTGAACAGATGGCGTTTTCACGCAGAGGCTTTTCGCCTGTTACAATAAGAAATAATTAAGCTGTGTGAACCAAGAAAAACAGCCCATACTGTTCTGCTTAGTCCTTTCATTGAAGAGAGAAAAAAATAACCAACAAAACAAGACAAAAAAGGAAAAAAACAATATTTTTAGTTCAACGTGTATAGTAGTTATTAAGAAGTACCATCCAGCACACAAGACTTCGACGACAGTTGAGAATTAAACGAGAAACGTCAGGAAGGAAAACACGCTATAGCTCTCAGATATAAAGGAACAGATAATTATGTCTCCACGTGACTTTCATGTTTTTCTCATATGACAACATTACCATTTTTGGGGATGAATGCACGAGTCAGTCCCAATTCCATTCCGAGATAATTACTTGGCTTCATTCTGCGTTTGCAAATACTTGTGTTTTCTCTTCGTCCAAACTCTCCCTTGAGGATGCCATCTAGGAATCTACAGTCGTGCTACGGTGATGCTTTTAATAGAGACTAAAGTAACAGTCTTGAGCGTGAGACAGACGTGTAGATATCCTGGCAGAGGTACTCGACAAAACAAAACTTAACCAGCTTTTCCAGGGATTTTGACAAACTTGAGGCTTTTAAAAAGAGGTGGTAACATCTCTCACCACCAGATCATCAGTTCCTGATTACATTTGTTTGAATAGGCTATACGGTACATGAGCGAGAATATGAAAACTATGGAACTGATGAACTATTGGATGATATCTCTTCGAACAGAAATAATGCAGCTAAAGACGACTGGGGGCAAAAGATAAGATATGCCAGTCTAGCTATTGGACATCACGAAGACCTGCTTTCTAACGTTAAACACACACACACACACACACACACACACACACACACACACACACACACACACGTAAAACACAAAACAAACCAAAAAGAAAAAAAGAAAAAAACAGTGTATTACTGGCTTGTATATTTATGTTTCATTAAAGGGTTTAGCATATCAATAGATTCTGAAAGATGGTGGGTTTTTTTTGCTTGATCTTCTAAAAAGAAACATGTCTCTATTTTTCCCTGAGCATAGGACAAAGAGTTCCCCACGAGGAATTGAACCCCGGTCCTTCTCGTTCGCGGGGCGATGCTCTACCACTGAACCAAAGGAAGAATATTGATGAGTTTGAACAAATAAAAGGTGCTACTCTTTTTGCTCAACATTACACGCATAAAACTTGAAGCGTGTGTAAAATTGGACGACACTATACAGAATGTAGGGAGGTATTCCAAACTCTAATATTAATTTATACAAATTGAAAAATGGCTTTATCTTACTGGCTTCAAATCGAAAAAAAGAGTGAACCTTTCAAAGTGTTGGGGATGGTTTCTGGTCAGCAAATTAAATCCAAACAGCAGCTGGAAAAATTGGCAAGAGAAAGAGTAAGGCAATAGCTAAGGGAATAACAAAGAAATAATACTTAGTCAGCTTAGCATCGATTGGATATGGGAAATAGTCATGGGCCTCAGTGGCTTTATAGACTCGTTGGCTTCAGTTTTGAGAAGGATTTCAAGCAAAGTGTTAAAAAAATCAATAACGAAATGATAGTCATCGAAGAGATCGACCGCTTTAATACTTTTTAAAGGCCTCCTAATCTTTTCCATCATTGTTATTAACCCGATCTTAACTGATTGCTGTCAGTTTTTTTGCTTGCTAAGCGTAATTAAAAATTGAAAAATGGAGCGTGGGACGCAACAAAATAAATATAACTGACAAAGATCATTTAAGACTTCAAAATTCCGATAATAAGAGTGTTTTAACTAATTATCCATACCACAGGATGATCAGTTAAATATTTTAAACGCTTGGACTGTAAAAGGGTGAACTGGATACGCCAATAAATGTCACTCGTGAATGAGAAGTCGCACCTTTCCATTAAGACGTCGTTACTTTTTAATTCGCTGTTATTACTAAGTGAGAAGATGCATCATCCGTAAAAGCGCGATAAACAATGATGTTTCAAACCGGAGATTAAATAGCTTTGAACAGCTGCGTGCAGCCCTACTGAACTAACTCAAGCAAGAGTCACTATCATTCTTTAAAGCACATTCTAATTCACAAATCTAGGCTTTGTTGTTTCTAATCATGACAGTGGAAGGCAGAGGCTATTACATGGCCATTTGTAGTAGAACAAGAATTTTATTCTCTTACATAATGTATTCAAAGAAAGTCATCTTCGATTAAATTTTTTACTTACTATGCATTACAGGAAAAAATTTTTCTGTCACACAAAAGGAACTTTAGTGACTTAAGACCAGAAAGCAACGCCAATACCATGTTTTTCAGCAACGTTAGTGTTAAGTGTAGGATGGATCAATTTAACCTCATGCAGTCTCGGGTTGCACCGTCGGTTGATCATGGGAGATACCCCACACTATTTCTAAACATGGGAATGGATGTATTTTATTTCTATCTACATATCGTTCTACGACATCAGCCTTCCTCTGGTTGATTTCCTTTCAGACTTATCCAAGGCCCTCCACTTTCTTCAGCTACAAGAGCCCTTCTCCACTCTTTTTCAATTTAATTCATAGTGGTTCTTCGCTAATGACGCCTCGTTAATTCACCCCCTCCTGCGCTTGTCATTAAGAACATGCGGCTTTAATGCATGCGATTCTGCGGTTCTTATTTCAGGCGTTTAGTCCTCATTTAATCCTCTCATTACTGACGCTAAAAAGTAAATAAATTTCTTATTTTTTCTTTACCTGAGTTTCTAATACCAGAAAACGTTTCACCTTGTTTTCTGTGAGTCATATTCGCCGTTTAAAGAAGTACATCGGTTTTTAAATTTTTTCGGATCCTTAAGACTTCCAAATTGAACTTATCAAAAGTTTCCCTCCCCTCTTCTTTTCCTGTTTTCACATTGTGGCTGGTAAGAGCTCCCTTGGAGCCCAGTTTGACCTTTACGCAGCGAGAAAAGAAATGATAGCAAAAATATTTCCGAAACAAGTTTCAATGTTTTTCGCCTTTGTTCATCCGTCAAAGCTATAAACCGATCTTTCGCCTATATTGCGATTGCTTATTCTCCGAAGAATTCTTAGAATGGAGGGTCGAAAGTGCCTGATCTTCCAGCAGTAGATGATCGGGTTGAGGGAGGAATTTATAAGCACAAGCGTCACCGTGAACATTTGTAGCTCTCGAGGAGGAAGAGTAGATTTAACAAAAGCATAAACGTATAGAAAAAAGTAAGGCAGATAACATACCCAGAATACGAGGTAAATCCAAATTGTGCTTTGAGCAGACTTTTTGATTCTCGCCATATTCGCCAGGCCGTTATTTTGTGTGACATGCTGCGTTTGGGTCTGAATCTGAATACTATGATGCCTGATTGTTATATAAATCTTAAAAGAGGTCAATGTGGAAGAAACGAAGGATAGCGAATGGATAGTAAAAAAAATTGCGGTAGAGGCACTTGGATATTTCGGGAATAGCGCGAGCAGATCGATGGGTATAAAAATAACAACGACGAGCCATATTGCCGTGACAAGAATCACTACCCGTCTGTGAGTTACGATTTCTTGGTAACGTAAAGGCCACTGAATGGCGAGAAATCTGTCTGCACTTAAGGCCGTTATGCTGCAAAACGAAATTAAAAAAAGTATGTTGGATACAATTGTTGAAAAAGTGTCAAGAGTCGGAGTATTCTTGGATCGTAACTCCTTTTCAACCAGGGAGGCGATGTACATTGGTTGACTCAGTAGGCCAACACCAAGATCAGAAACCGCAAGGCTCAAAAGCAATGTTTTCAAAGGTTTTGACAACGAAGAGGTTTTTCTCAGCGCGTAGATTGTTACAATGTTCATCATAATGGTGGCATAACACAGAAATCCATTGATAATAATGTTGGCGACCGCAGCAGATAGGAGCGAATCTGCCTTTTTAGAGGGTTCACTGTCCTTTGCGGTGAAATTCATGAATGAATTAATATAAAATTGAAAGAAGATGAATCGGCTTTAATCCAAGAAAGCGGAGTCCAGCGAACTGTGATCAGGGTGATAAAGCTGTCTCTCCAAGCAGAATAAAGACAAATCAGTAGAGGATTGTACCAAATCTAATCGAGTTCTTTTGAAGCGTGGACACTGTTTGGAAAATTGACCTTCTTCTGTGTGAATAGCAGTTCAAAACCTCTAACCTAGTTTATCCTATTCGATACGCATCCAAAAGAGAAGCCAAAGAAAATTAAGAATTGAGACAAGGTCCAAACGAACTCTTGAGAAAAGCTGCTCAGCGCTGTTGATCTCTTCTTCTTGAAAGTGGAAACTTGATCAAATTATGTTGGATGCGATTCAAAAATTGTGCAGTCGATGATTTAGATGAGTCTTGCCCGCACGTTTCTTCCTAAAAGTTGGCAAGAAGAGAAATCAAGGCCAGACTGGGCTCCACAAGTCTCAATCAAGCTAGTCCGAGACATAAAATCGCGAAAAGTGTCTTCTTCCAGGAAGTTGAAGATGATGGAAAATTGAAACGAAATCAGTTGATGAGATGGAAACTATCGGGTGCGAATAATCGTTAGATGTGTTTCTACCAAGGAAAATTCAAGCGAAGTCGATAATCTAACACGGTCACTGTCGAATCTCTCCGACGCGCGAGAACAGCTAACGTTTCAAGTTTTTCCAATTGCAAGAAAATGGGAGAGGAGTTCGCCGCTCATAGATATTTATATATATTCGAAAGTACAGGTGAAAATCTTATTATGTAAAATTTGCGAATCCGATATGGTAGCTGTCATAGGACCGATGACACGTCCATTTATGTTTGTTGAGGACCCCAAATCTCTGCCATTTGATTGGTCAAGTGTGTGCTCGATAAGAATTTTCGCGACGACTATCATGACATAAGAGTGTCAAGTAATAAAATGCTTAATCGCAGATATTTGTTAATTCACGCCTCTGAATGACATATTTTGAGACTTTTCGTCATCTTCTTTCCGAAATGGACGATAAACAGCTGATAACCCTTATCTTTTGACTGTTTTTAATTGTACCTCAGTCAAAGAAAAGATCTTATATGACGCAAATTCTAAAGAACCTGTCTATGGCGATTTCACTCGATCTTCCTCAGATAAAACGTCACCCTTACTTAAATAAATTCTTTTTTCAAATAATTTCATATTTCGATTACAAAGCTTCACGATCCCTCTATAGGAAGTTACACCGGAAAAATTCAAGCTGACTTGTCTCTATTCGCCTGCCGCCGGAGACAAAAACCCTATTGTTCGGACGAAATGCTACTTTCCAATTTCCTAAATTATATCATACTTAAACAAAACCTTCCTCACTCTTGATTCGGTGGCATGATTTCATCAGTTAATTGAGGTGCTTTAGGTTTTCGCTCTACCGTTGTCAAAACATGTGTCATAAAACAACCTTGATCAGAGTTTGTCGAAGGTGCCTCCTCAATTTGCGGAGGAAATTCGCTGGAGGCACAACAGCATATGAGCTTCACTAAGCATGTTTTATGAGAATAAACTTTGTATACCTATCAACTGTCAAACAATGGACATATGTAATGAAAAGGAAACAGAGAAAGGAAAGAAAGCTTCAGGCGAAGGAAAAACTTATAATGGGAATAAAGTAATAACATGTACTTTGAGCAAATTAGCTGAGTACCCGTCCATTTATTATTTAGGCTCTTTTTGCGTTTGCTATCCAATTTGAGACTGTGTTTGCTCTTTGGGACGTCAGGATCTGAGACACATTGTAGCGCTGTGGCAGAAAGTAAACTGATTCTATGGTGATAAGCTAGTATTGCGAAATTTGTATTCCGGTCGTGCAACCTAACATGGAGTATCGCGTACAAATGGAATATATCTCATAATCTTGGAAATATCTGAATGATATTGAATCGATCGAAAACATGAAAAAATATTTCGTTTTGCGGCCAGTTGGGGCTCTACTGATGTTGATTATGTAGAAGCGTTTGGGCCATGTATTTTGAGTTTTCTTTTCGGCCACTTCGGCTAGCTAACTCTTTCTATCATAGCTCAGTTGTAGTACTTCCGAGCGGTATTCGGAGAGTCTGTATCTTCAAAAGTTTCCAAATGTCGGCTACATGGTTGTGAAATATGAGTTTAACATCTCCAATTTCTTTGAAGGAGAATATTTCCTTCCTTCATGCATTAAATTTTGAGACTTTAAAGATCATGATAGGCTCAGTTTTACCGGGTTCCTCTGGAGTCGAAAGATTATTGGCGGGTAAAAACCCAAGATTCGTAAAAAGGTGTAACCAGGTAATAAACCGTTTCCACATAACTGCCTTTTTTTTAATTTATGGCTTACAGAAGTAGCGGGCTTAAAGACTGTCTATTTATTTACGTTTGCAGGTTGAAAAGCTTTCATTACCCCGCGCAATGTTCTGAGCACTTGCATTGTGATTGGTTGACAAGAAATTTACGTCAGTCAATGCGTCAGCTATAACTCTGTCAGTTTCATTCTTAGCCGAAACTTCATGCATACAAATCAATTCAGGCAACGTTAGTTACGTCAGGCTGTTGTAGGCTGGGGGAAAAGGAAGTGCAGTCGAAAAAAGTGATCGAAAAAACATTCAACTCAGGAGTCGATCTGAAAGTTTATACCGGTTACAGGAGCATTAAGCGACTTAATGCATTGTCAAACACAACTAATATATAGTTAAAGTTAAAGTCATCTTAAGTTAAGCAGGGTGGCCCTTTCAGCACTAGGCTGGTATCAATAGGAGCCCTGCGTAATTAATGATTACTACATAATAAGTCAAAAACTACCACCGGCCAAAAACTACTACAAAATAAAAATACAATCATGTAGAATAAAGAGCTAATAAAATGTACTATATCTCATCTAGTAAAATATTGTTTAAGAAGGTTCTTAAACTTGGAGAGTGATGTAGCTCCTTTCAATGTTCTGGGTAATTTATTAAAAAGGATCGAACCTGAATACCTAAAAGTGTTTTTACCCAGACTTCATTTAGGGGCGGGTAATTGAAGATCGTAACTGTTTCTGGTGTTATAACTGTGAATAAGATTATTTCTTATGAAATAATCACAAAAATAGGTGGGGCTATATTATTTAAACATTTATAAACTAAAATACACTTGTGCATAGTTCTCTGTGTTTCTAGGTTTATCCACCCAAACATCTGAAATGCTTCTTCTGTCGTGGACCTCCCTTGTACTATTTGCGCTGCTCTGTTCTGTAGACGCTGTAGGTTTTTACCGCAGCCTTTTGACAGTCCACCCCATACCGTGTCAGTGTAGTTAAAAATTGGTTGTATAAGACAATTGTATACACATTTAGCAGCTTTTTGAGTAAGATAGGGTCGTATGCGGGACAGGAGTCCTAGACGTTTGCTTACTTTGTTACAAATTATTTCAACGTGCCCAATCCATG